AGGATCAGGTGCAAGCACAGGCAATGGTGCTAAAGATAGAGGGTTTGGCAATGGTTGGGGCAAAGATGCCTAATCTTTATTGAATGCATCCAAAAACGGTGTTGACTATAACAAGAAACAGAAACATCACATATACCAAGAGACTAAATGTTATACAAGAATCAAATTATGAGGAACTTACTACACAGTCAATATCAGAAATCCTGATGAATAAATCAGTACTTTCAGAGACCCATTTCCAATCCTACATCTAAAGGAGCTATCAAGTACCTGTTTATCTGCTCTTTTAGCACTAAGCTTTTCTGCTTCTTCTAGAGCTCATACCTGTTTAATGCCGTAGCACGATTTTCTTTATGACACCTCACAGGTAAGCAGGATAAGCAATTGAAAGTAAACAGAAACAGCATCCCTATCATTTGAATTTATATCTCTTACAAATATACCCATGACAAAATAGAAAACTTATATCCATGACCCTTGTTCTAATTTATACAAATAATAGGTTACCAAACTAACCCAAAATAGCTAATAATAACATACTTATGCTATTCATGCACCACTTCTTTTCTCTTGTTCTTTATATTTCATTAAAAACCATTTTCAAAATGCTTCGAGTAGCAGTCTTCATAAATACATGTAACAAAAGCTTACCACTAATTCAGCAACTTTCCTCTCTCCCTCTATCTTAGAATCCCATTTTTCACAATAAAACAAATGACACAACATTCAATTCATCTCTTCTTAATTGGGAGTTAGGGCATAACAAAAAACCAGATGATGTGTTGCTCCCAAACTCACCCCAACTCAACCAATCTCTCTTTCTAAACTTCTAAAACATCAAATTCCTGAGAAACCAAACACAGATAAGCAATTCGAATGCATAAACTAGGGTTCCAAAAGGAAAAAGATGGATATGAATCATTTAACAATTAACGAAACATAAAGAAAAGATTAAAAAAGAAAAAAAAGAAAAAAAAGAAGGAATCGATCAGGAGAATACCGTTAATTGGAAGAACTCGTGAGGACAAAGGCCACACAAGTAGAGGCGGCACACATCGCGATCGTAGTACATCCAATTCACCTCCCTTATGTCGCCATTACGGTACCCATCAGCACATCGAGCTGCGTCTGAAGTGTTGCCTCACTTCCTAAAATGACTTGGTATTGATACTTATGGTTACAGAGTGGTCATGGATCTTAAAAGTGCAATGCTAATGGTTCTAAAATTTGAGATTAAGGAAATTGTGGCTCATAATCCTTTCTTGTGAAATTTGATAGTGAGTTGGTCTATCATACATGCTGCAATCTTCCTTACCGTCTACATTTGTTGAATAAAAGTACATCTCCCTCCGTCCCTTGTATACGTAGAGTCATATTGGGATGTTTTCATAATTAATTCCTTACTCACCTATTGTTTGGCACCCAAAATGTTACCTCATTTCCTAAAAGGTTAAATGCTAAATTTGGTCCCTCAACTTTAGTGAGTTGCACATTTTTGGTCCCTTAACAATTTTTTGCATTTTTTTGATCCCTCAACTATACGAAATGTATTCCGTTAGTCCTTCTGTTAATTTTGATCGTTAACTCGCTTATGTGATATTTTTTATAATTTTTTTGATGACATGGCAAAAACAATTTATAAAAAAGCTGATTTGGAATTTTTTTTAAGCCACATCATCCGCCAACTCATCCAATTCATTGCCAACTCATAAACTGATTTTACCTTAATAAAAAAATAAAAAATTACAAATTTACCCATCTCCCTTTCTAATCCATCTTCTTCCCCTCTTTCGATCATCTTCTTCCTTTCTTTTTTTTTCTTTTTCTTTCTTCCTCTTCTTCCTCTGTGTCCGCTGGGTTCGGTGGAACCCAGCAAGTGGGTTCACCAAACCCAGCAAGGTGGGTTCGGTGCAACCCAGCAACTGGGTTCATCGAACCCAGCAAAATTCTCCATTTATTTCATTTGGATTTAGGTATTTTTGGGTTTCCTCGATTTCTTTCTCTCGAACCTAACTAGTTGCTACGGTTGATTTCATGGTCCTTTCTATTTGATTTCCCTCAGATCTCTTGCATGTATGGTGAATGTCTTGAATGGTTGTTGCTATGACTGAGTATATAGTTTGTTCCTTATGAAAGAGTATCTTTCTTCATGATGCTAGATATTGAATAACTTGTATTATGTGTTTTTTGGCCGGGAGGATTGGAGGTGGAACCCAGCTTGCTGGGTTCCACCGGAACCCAGCAGATCTGGGTTCCATCGGAACCCAGTTTGCTAGGTTCAGTTAACCCAGTTGCTGGGTTCCGTGAACCCAATTTGGCTCCACTTTTTTGTTTTTGTTTTTTTTTTTTGTTATATGTTTGTTTGCGTAGAGATTGTCCAAGTTGCAGGTTCAAAATGGAAAGAACAGAAGCAGTTGGGTAAAGAAGCAATTCTTAGTGGTTTCCATTTGTTTGGCTGGAAAATGGTATGGTTCG